GAGAGAGAGAGAGAGTTTAGGGTGGTTTAAAACTAGTTAAATGAGAATTATAGATCATAATCGCTAGATCGAGTCTGATTCTGAGCTATGACTTATGTCAATTGAAGGTTGATTGATGTTCTTTGACACTGTTGATGCCAAAGATATGTATGGTGATTCCCTTTGATGGGTTACGCAGTTATGATCTATCACAATGATTGAAACCACGGATTAGTAAGAGGAAGTATATCCCAATTTAAGGTTTTGATGCCCCCGAAAGACCTCCATCAGTGATGCAGTCGGTGCTCTTCGAGGCAGCTGCTCGGTCAGCCCAATCTTACCGACGATGAAGCGGAAGAAGTGGAGGGAGGAGGAGGAGGCGACGCTGATCCGGGAGTACGCGGCCCTGCTGTCGCCGCCGTCGGGAGGCGCCCTCCTCCTGGCCAGGCTCCGCACGCGGGAGAAGAAGTTCCAGCCGATCGCGGACCGGGTGAACGCCGCCCACCACCTCCGCGACCCCGTGGCCTTCCCCTTCCGGTGGTCCTGGCGGGACGTCTCCGTCAAGATCCACAACATGCGACACCAGTTCCTCCACGTCAAGCGCAAGCTCCTCCCCCTCCCCGCCCACCTCCACCCCGACCACGCCCTCCACCTCTGGCCAAACTTCCTCCTCTACAAGCAGGTCTTCGGCGATCATCTGGAGCTCCACCTCCGCCCCTCCTCCAAAACCCCCGCTTCCGACGGTGATCGTGAGGATGATGATAGCCTCAACGAAGAAGATTACGAAAATGAAAATGATGACGTTGAGGAGGAGGACGAGGCGCAATTGGCCACCGATCTCTCTGCCTCCGATCAAGAAGTGGCGGACGATGAGGAAAGGATCGATGCAGAACTCGTGCATCGAGAAGAAGAAGAGGAGGAAGCGCTAGGGTTGCGGCGTCTCCTTCCTCGCCGCCGCCGTGGGAAAAAGATGGGATTTTTGGGAGCCGACATGGTGAGGCTTGGCGAGATCGCGATGAGGAGGGAGGAGCGAAGACGCGAAAGGGAGGCATCGAGGGAGGAAGAAGATCGCGAAAGGGAGCGGCGGAAGAGGGCCTTGGAGCACCAAAGACAGATGGATGAGGAGGAGGAGAGGAGGGAGCAGTGGCGAAGGAGGATGAGTAGGGAGGAGAGGAGGGAAGAAGAGGAGATGGAGTGGAGGGAGAGGATGCTGGTGATGCAGATGGAGCACGAGAAGCAGGTGATGCAGATGCAAGCCGATGCTTTCCAGGATCAGATGCAAATGATCGCCATCCTGGTCAGGGTCATTTGCCAGTTCCTTGGAGGAGGGACGGCCGGTGGTGGTGATGGTGGGATTGGGGGAATTCAGCACCATGTGATGCAGCAGCAGCAGCAGAAGCAAGAGGAGTCACCAGAGAGCTTAGTGGGCGATGGTGGGAAGAATGGTGATCATTCTGGTGGGCGCTATACTTAGATTCATGTAAGTTAGCATCTTGATACTTTGTTTTCATTATATTTTCTGACGCACTGATTGTAATAGATTTATTGCAAGGATAAATATGATTACTGTTATCTGTGAAATTTCTTGATCCTTCTTTAATATTAAGTAATGTCGCACTTGCAGAGACTTGTTGCATGAGTAGCTATATTGATTATTATTTGTGAAATTTTGTGATCCTTCTTCTAGTCTAAATAATGTTGCATTATCATCAACTTGTGTGAATTTTGATAATTATTTGTGAAATTGTGCGGACCTTCTTCCAGAACAGTGTTGCATCATAAATTTTTATCTTCATGAAAGAATGGTCTTATATGCTACTAACTTTGTGTTTGGGTCTTGCAAGAATTAAGAATGTTTGAAAGAGAAAATCAGTTTGGTTTGGTTTGAACTGGTTAGAGTGTAAGATGAGAAAATCAGCACAGGTTCTCTTGATATCTTATATTTCTTTCTTCTTACAAAAATACTAAATGAAGGGTATAAGAAATTCATCTAGATTCATGTCACCCAGAGGAATATATTTAACGCATGTATACTGACCCTCTCCAGACATCATACTAGTGGGAGCCTTGTGCATACATTGACCCTCTCCACACCTCATACTAGTGAGAGCCCTGTGCACTAAGCTGTTCTTTTTTTTTTGTCTGATTTAATTCTTTATTTTTGTTTCAGAACCTGGGAAACTCTAAATATTGTCTAGTGCACAAGAGGCTTACTGTTTTTGTTTCTGATAGGCTATCTGAATTTTTTTTTTTCTATCAATGAGAACAATATGCTGCAATATATAATACAAATATCTAGAATGACTTTCATCACCAACTAATATGAATTTAAGTTGAATCGTGAGCATGTAAAAGTTGTCAAAAATGGATGAGGTATACAGGTTGCTGATCTGTCACACGATGCATAGGGAGGTAATTGACTGCCCAATGCACAAGAATCCTTCCAATGTGGGTTTTGAGGTGGGTTTATCACTTTATAAATGTAACCTTACCATTGCATACAGGTTGATTGTTTGCATGACTCAAACCATGATAGCTTAGATGCTAAAAATAGTGAGTCCGCATATGGATTCTTGTGTTATTATGGTATAAAATACAAAATGATTTATTTAAATTGCCAAAATATTATGAATATTCAGACACAAATTGTAGACCAGCTCAATGAAAATGATAATGGAAGCAATGCTAACAATTTTTTTATCAGATTGAGATAAGTTACTTAAAGAAATAAAATTGTTGGCCATCAAAAGTTGAATAAGAAGAAAAGATGGAAGACTGGGAATAAGGTGTAATAGATGATGAAAAATAGATAAGAAAAAATAATGAAGTAGAGTGGAGATAGAGGATGGGGTGGTAGAAAGTAAATATAAGGAAGAAAAAAATAAAGATATAAACTAACAAACAAACAAGATCACAAGAGAAAACAACTTAGCCTACATTATCTAAATCAGATTGCTTATATGGGCACAACCTTACTGGCTCGATCTTTGGCTTTAGATAAGAATCTTTCTGATTGTAACTTGATCTTCCAATCTCTTTTCCCTTCTCCAACAGAAATTGAAATATAAAATATTTTTTCTAGGTTGGCCTCTTTCTCTCCCTCAAGATTTTGAACAATTTAATGTTTTTCATGCCTTCTGCTGCTATTGTTCTTGACATTTATGTGCAAACTTATTGATTTGGCAAAATCAAAATATTTTACCTAACATAATTAGTGTACTACATACCATGCAATTGTATCGTTAACAGATATAAATAACGTACTCTGTACCACCTACCTACTATACCATGATTAGAACTTCCACTTTCTTAGTAACTTTGTCTTTTGTCCCATTTGTTAACAAATTTAATTTTATCTCTTGATTCACACAAAAAAATATGTATTTAACAAAAGCTGTGCGGCACTGAAGACACATCTCTAAGGAGAATAGACCTTTTATAAAAGCTCATGAGATATGAATCTAAGATGTGTTTCTGTGTGACATGTGAGCCTCGAGCAAGTCAAAAGGCTCAAGATCTGAGCTCTAGGAAACTTTGTGCATAGCCACACCTTTGTAATGCTGGTTGGAATATTATTGCAATTCCAATCTGTAACATTTCCTAACCGAAGCATTTAAAGCTCTAGTTTGGTTACATGACCACCTTACTTCCAGCATCCACTTATTTACATGCTTGAATGATTTATTTATCCATGACAATATGTTGCATGAATATTTTGATGTATATATTGGATAAAGTGGCAGAAACATGCTTATGCTCCATATCAAGTGCAATTTGGTAGCCATCAGCATGAGCAAAAAATCTGCAGTCAGGAAAAAATTTGAGCAAGAAAATATACTTGATTAGAAAGAAATGTATAAAATAAGATAAGAATCCTTAGTTCACTTTGGATGGCCTTCATAAGCAATAAATTATGATCATTGAATTTTTCTGCAGCCTGTTCATATAATACTTTTGCCTTCTCCCTTTTAGCCACACATCTATTTACTTCATTCTTTTTTATTTCGACCATATGTTAGCATTTCTGTCCTAATATGATTGTTTTAGTCCACTGTGTATCTGTTTTAATTTCTTAGACTCAACCTACAAAATAACTAGATGCAGACCACTTTACTTTTTCTTTTTCGTGATAAAAAACTATTTAGCTTGCTATAAACTCATGGCTGAATCAAAGTATTAAATGTACATAATCATTAAAACTATAGAACATTGGAAATTAGCAATTTTTTTAGACATTTCCTTTCAGCCATATATATAAATTTGTATTTTGCTTGCTATATAAGCATTACACTTGGATCCATTTTCGTCCATTTTCCTCCATTTCATTTTGGTAAGTTAGATATTATGCCATTCCATAATAATATTATATGATTAAGTTGAAGATAAAGCAATGAAATGCCTAATTTTGTTATTACATGTTCCACAGTCATCCTAATTGATCTTCTTTTCTACAACTATTGGTTAATTTGTTCTCAGATATTGTTGCTTCATGTTTGAGGGTCATCTCTACCTGTCTATATTACTGGCAACTACCAGAGGTTTTGCACCTTAATGTGTTTGCCATTTGTTGCAGATTCATGTGTGGTTTTTTGTTTGTCATATTATTTCTACTACTTATTTTCAGCGTTGATGACATGATGTGAAATGCTTTCTTAATTTATTTGGTTATGCATGACTTTAAGAAGGTAATAGTTCAATTGTTGACTTTTTAATGACTTATGACCGCCACTGTCTTGACTTTTTTCTTTTCAGGCTGTATCTTATACTGACGAAGAAAATTATGGTGTTGTATTTAATTTTCACTGTAGGAAGATAAAGAACCAAGATTGTCTTCTAATCAAGATAAGCTAGTAAGCAATCATCAAATCATGCTTCTGTTGCTTCAAATTCTAGTGACCGATAACATGATTATCAATTTATTTGACCTAGCCTTATTAGCAGGAATAATTGCACTTTGCTTGGTAGTCCAACTTGTTCTGTACAAAGCTCATTGCTAAAGAAATCAACAAATTTTCTGACTATTTATTACAAGCATGCAGAACTTTTTTCCTTTTTGTTTGCAATGATTTAAAGAAGAAGAAATTGGTTAAAAACTAAAGCAATTTGATTATTCCAATTTAAAATGTCTTGTAGGTAGTACTCCTTTGTGCTATCTCTTGTCCAGAGAAAAATCTTAAAATGAAAATAAATACGTAATATATCTTGATAAATAGTAATTTAAGCATAAACTCCTTGTGGGAGCTCCCAGGTTAAGGACTTCCGTAGCAATAAGGTTTTCTTTTGAATCGTATGATGCTTCTGCAAGTATGTTCTGAACAAACTTTGTCCATCTTCTAGCTTCTATTAGAAATTATGAGGGTCTATTGAGATGATATCCCTTCCTTTCTTGCACTGAAGGTGTCTCATTACCATCAGATTCTCTTGTACTGGCAACTAAGCCCACATGTTGATCATTTAAAGAAGAATAAATTGCAAGAGAACAATATTGATCAAGAATATGAAACTAGAATTTAGCTTAAGAGTTGCATGGTCAGTTAAGTATGGGAATGATACCTTTTGTTCCTATTCAAGTCTCATCTCACCAACCAACCCTGTGAATGGCAGTGATGGGACCTATGTGGGTTCCAGTTGTGAGGCCATTCCTGCATCCAGTCACAAGTCATGTAGGTGAGATTGGTAAGCCATAACTGGTTATGAAAAGTAATTTTGAGTCGACAATTTATATGAATAATGGGATCTCAGTTTCTGATTTGAAATTTCATAGGTTTACTGTTAGTTGTTAACCACTTCATCGTAGTATTTACTTACGAGTAGTGTATTAGTGCAAGAAGAAGGTACATGGTGATGCTTTTATCAGCAGGATCATCAACCATGGATATAAGTAACCTTATGGTTTGTGCTTTATAGCAGCAGCATCTTTCTATTATATGCATTCTGCTGTGATAAAAAAAGAAAGTACAGAAATCTGTATATATTAATCTAAACTTAACAATATGACACAATATTTTAATCCAGCAAAAGGAGATTCATATTGTAATATGTAGGCTGTTATGGATATAGCTTGATTTACATTTAGGATAGCTTAGATTATTTGCTGGGATAAAATTGTTGGTGACTTATTGCAGCCTCCATATCGTATTTGTTGATGTTTATTTCAATAGGTCAGCTTACATGCTTGTGCAGGGAGAAAAAATAAAAGAACAACCAAAACGGTGGAGTTGCCGTAAATTGTTTTCTTTTTATTTCTGCAAATAATTTTTAATTTTCTTTTTTATGTTAAGATTGTCAACAGCCACAATTAGTCGATCATAGCACCTTGTAGGATGTAGAAGTGGCATTTTTCTTATATTTTTACCCAGAAGATTTCATAAAAGAAAATTGAATTGTGAATGATGAAAAAATTTCTGTTCTTCTGCAGGAAATGGACTGGTGTCAGCTAAATGCCCACCAGATAGACTGCCGGCTTCCACTTCCAAACTATGGTGAACTACGAGTTATATGATCTTTTATTCTCATGGTTGCTAAATTTTTACGCGGAAACATGATGTCGAATTTGACCTATGGATATAGCTACACAGAATGTTTATCTCCAATTTATTTTTCCCATTGTTTCAGTAGCTTAATGGTATCCCTTTGAGTTATCCAAATGGATCAAGATCAGGTTTAATCTCATTCTGGTGTATAGAAGGAAAACTATTAGTTTCTGGAGCAGTACCTCTCCGTATACTTGGAAATTTAAACCTCTGAAACTTCACTTGTTTCATGAACCACATCAATTTTATCAACTCAATGAAACCTGCATTGTCCATTGAGGAGGTTTCACATTTGGGAGGAGACTGGCCGTGTAATTATTCGGCTCATTAGATAACTGATTCCACTTGTTTGGGTCCTAACTTTTCTTTCTTGTCCAAAATGATTATACTTGTTTAATTCTTATATGTCGTTTCAAATTTTATTTCACTTACGAGACTAAATTAGGATGTTATCGGCTTGATGTTTGCACTAACACGACTCATAATCTAACCTTACCAAAATGCACGAGGTCTAGTTTAAAGTGACTCTCTGTCGTAACTTATCCTCCTGACGTGATCCTTTCTATCTTCTCATGTCTTGATATCATTTGTTACCTAATCCAATCCCACAGGATTATGGATCCAGCTTCAATCTTTGATTTAAGATGCTTTCATCCAAGGTTCGTAATATCGTACCATACCGGTATTTCGATATTTTGATCTAGGCTCGGTACGGTATACCGAGCGGTACACCTAGGTGTACCGAGTATTGTAACATTGCTACAGTACATTCGGACCCTGCATTTGTACCGGTTGCTGTTGTTGTTGTTGTTGTTATTATTATTATTATTATTATTACATCAAAAAAAAAATAAACCATAAGTTAAGACAGTATCTATAATTTTATGTACTTGACTAATTTGCACTAACACATAATGTCATCCATACCACCGCCTACTGCCACCTCTCTCCCTTATACCAAAAATCACCACCACCTCCCCCTACTACTTCGAATCACCACCTTCACTCATGCCAACACAAGTCCTCTGCACCCCCATCAACTTCTCCACCACCACTTGAACTTTGAATCCCAATACCATTTGAAGTTACCAGTTCATATCATTGTCACTTCCTTGCTGCAATCTACACAGTGATTACATGCCATGTGGAACCTCATTCATTGACCTTTCAAGTGAATTACTATCACGATGAAGAAAGTTACAAAGCTTAGTGATTGTTTTCTTAACTCAAACTCAGATCATTTAGCACGAAAGATACAAAGTTCACCCTCTCGAATAATAATAATAATTATTATTATAGAGATAGTAAAAAAAAAGGATTAATTTTAACAACTTTACATAGTCTTTTCTAACAGATGATTCTTCTGAATCACCCCAAAATTAACAGCCAGTAAGAACTGTGCCAAGTTAAGTTGCATCAATCCTCACCTGCCATTACCAAACCCCATCAGAAGAATTCTCATGCTGAGAAAACCGGAAATACTTTCACCAAAACAGATGGAAGCAATCATGATCAGGAGCAAATGCCTCTCTCCTTCTAATGCAATGCAGTCTCTTCTTTCCCACCCCTAAGCATCATTCCACACTGTGAACGGTGGAGCTCCATGGTCAGCAGCCATGCCGTTCGACCTCGACGCCATCGCCAGAGCTGGCGCATGCATCCATGCATTGTTCTGCTCGTACTCCCTGGCTTTGGCGTTGCCGGAAGACAACTGATGAGCGAGATAGTAAGCATTCCTGCTCGAAGAATAAGGATCTGCAGTCCCTTCTTCGTCGATGAGATTACCACAGCCTGCTTGGTTCGCTGCGCCGCTTTGATCCGTCACCACCGTGCTCATCGGCATCACGTACCCGCCGCCATGATAGCTTCCGCCGTACACCACCGAGTTCGATCCCGTGCTGTGTTCCAGCGACGAGGCGTCGACGCTTACAAGGCTGTGATGAAGCACCGACGACGGCTGGAAGAAGTTGTGGGTGTTGGTGCCCGAGTGGAGCTGGTGAAGGTCCTGCAGGCCGTGAGCGGTGGCCACCTCCTGCTTGCACCAACCCCGCGTCGGACCGTAGGGAAACTGAGCACCCCACCGCGGCGGCTGCAAGGGCGGCGGCTGATGGAAAGCGACAGTCGTCGGCCAGCCTTGGTGGTGAGAAGCGCCGTAGCCACCCGTCCCGTCGAACCGCGGGGCGAGACGGCTGTCTTCTGCCCTCCTCCCAATCGCGCCGGGCTCGGCGTGCTCGCCCACGTCCTTGAGCCGCTTGGCGGCGCCGCCGACGGGCAGCATGTTGCTCTCGAGGATACTCTTCACGTCGTACCGGCTCATGTCGAAGTTGGTGACTGCGTTCAGCCCCCGGAACTTGATGGCCGCGATATCGTACGCCTCGGCGGCCTCTTCTTGGGTGCCTGCGGAGTACGTACCAACGAAGCATAGGATTCATTACGACTACATGAAGTCAACCGTTAGGGTTTTCTGCATGACTTCGACAGACAAACTTGCGATGATTAGAGTTGTCTTCTTAAAGAAACATACTGAAGGTTCCCAAATAGAGGTCTTTGTTCCCTGCGACTCTTCCTATCCTTGCTTGCCATCTTCCATGCTGATGATGCCTGCAGAATCATCTTGTATCAGCCTTGAATCAGGTAGTACGAAGAAAAGGAAGCTGGTCCCGTCGATGATGAACGCCAACAAGGGTTCCTCTCAAACATACCTTGTTACTCCACGATAAATAGATGCACCCCTAGAGAACCCGCTGCTCTTTCTGCATGCAACGTCCAAAATATCATTCATATCAAGCATGTAAGAATCGAAATATGGGATCAAACAGGAACGAAAGAGTACACCTTCTGAGTGATGCAATGAATTCCTGCCTTGTCATGTGCTTCATCTCTTCCAGCTCATTCTCGTAGTTGCTTATCTAAGAACACACAAGTTGAACATGAAGCTTCAGTTAAACCAGTACACTATCCAACATGCATCGAAGAAGGAGAGGGAGAGAGAGGCACACAGGGAAGTTTGTGGTTGTAGTAGGACCCCAGTACTTGAGAGCAGCCAAATCATAAGCCCTAGCTGCCTTGTCTTCTTTGTCATAGCCACCTAAACATCACCAAAACATGAGGGAAAGGAAAAAAAGGGTCCATCTATCCCACCTTGTTTCCTACAAGAAAGGAGAACGAAGGAGATGGAAGAACTCCATTGTCTGCTTACCCAAATAGACTGCATGCATGGAGTTGGGGAATGAGCCATTGGCCGCGCATTGTGCCCAAGAGGGAGAGTTACAAGAGACAAGCACAAAATCAATACAAATCAAATGCTTGGTAGGTCGATTCATGAGAGAGATGCAAGTGGAAGATGTACCTTGTCTACCCTTGCGTGTCTGTCCTTCTCTTCTGCAACTGTTGTCCCATAGATGAGCCTCGTATCTACCTGTCCATCGATGCCTGGCAAAAGATATATGAAATGTAAAGGCATGTTATAGATAGCAGCTATACAATTATTTGATTGTAAGTATGACTATAAGAATGGTGGTATGTTTGATTCGATTTGCATGATATTTTCTTGATCATCCTATCCCCTAAAATGAATCATATAATATGCTCCAATCAGTGCAAAGATGACTGCTTATAAGGGAGGAATCGAAATTAAGCTCTTATAATTAGCAGTAGGAACCAAAATAGTTTCGATAAGAGATAAAATGGGTTATACAGATGTTGAACATGACACACCAACAACCCTAGATTTCATTCGAGGAAGACGATCCGCACCTCGTCACGCCCCGGTAAATGGAAGTTCTCTGCCCAAATGTGTCCACGGCCTTCCGAGGAACTGCTTCCATTGGACCAGTCTGTGCATCTGCGCCACCTGCAGTGCCTTTCTGCTTGTTGTCCGACGACGAGCTCTCACCTCCACCGCTTACCCCCCTCACCAGTAGCGGCAGAGCCGAGCTCGACTGCGAGCCTGTGCTCATGGACAACGATAAGCCCTGGGAGTTCGTTAACGTGCCGATAACGTTGGCTACCATCGCACTGCTGCTACAGCTTGACCCGCCACCCCCGGCCATGTCGTTGGCCTGCTGCTGTGGGATGGATTGGTTCCTCAACCATGTCTTGATCACGGACGGCCCGATGGAGTTGCTCGAAGAACCACCGTTGCCGTCGCTCATCAGGCCTCCACCGTGAGCATCGGATGACACCATGGAAGCGTCTTGCGCCTGGAAGGAGGAGGTGGAGAACATGTACTCATCGCTGGTAAGTGCAGCAGGTAGAACCTTTCGATCATGATCTGAGATCGAATTCCCACCGAGGAAGTCTTCGAGCTTGGGCTCATCTTCCTCCATAGTGTTCTGGTTACTGCTCGATCCAACCAGAACGGATAGTTCCGAGGGGCCTCCGAAGCTCTTCATGTTCCAATCTGCGAGTGAAAGGGAAGAAAGAGATAAGACCAAGAAACCAGAAGAGTAAGCAGTCGAAATTTGTCGAACGGTAATGGGGAAAGATCGACCTTGGGTTTGGTGGTGATGGTGTCTATCGAAGGCCTCTAAGATGCAGAAGGATAAGTCAGGTCTCAGGGTGGGTATTCCCATCGGCGGCTCCGATGTGGAGTCGGCAGAGAAATCGTAGCAGTTGGTGGAGACATCGTCGCCGGAGATGAAGTGGGAGACAGCAGCAGATGGCGAATGGCTCTGATGAGGCTGTGAGGAAGGGAGCTCATGGGGGGAGAGAGAGAAAGCCAACCAGTTATTCATGAAGAAGGCCAAATCAAGGACTCAGGTCGCAGAAGAATCGCCTGAAGTGTGTTCGAGGAAACTGAGGAAGAAGACTATGGATCAGTAGCTCTCACACTAGAAGGAAAAGCTAGACACCATGGATCGATGCCACTCCTGAGATCAGGATAGAACAACCAACAAAGCAGCAAGAGAGGTTTGGGAGAGAAGCGGAAAGGTCAAAAGAAGCTGAGAGGAGAGAACATTACAAACATCTCATCAAACAGGTGAGTTTATGTCCATGTCTCTCTCTCTCTCTCTCAATTCCATCTATTATTCTCTCTCATATGCTGCTGTGAGTGTACTATGCTTGGCTTAGAAACAGGGAAACTTGCTCTAACAAATGCTTACACTGTATAACAATAGGTAACATATCTAAAATTTGCTTAGATATTGTTTAGAGACATGTAACATGCACTGGAAACATCCTCTTTAGGAAGGGGTTTTGGAGACTGACTAAATGGTCAAAAAGTAGAGAGAGACTAAAGAAACCAATGTTGGTAAGCATGGAGGGCAATCATGAGGGCTGACATATCTGGTTTTGTGATCTAGGCATGAACAACATAGTATAAGCCTCATCCACATCAACTGGCAAAACAGTAAAAGAAACATGATGCAGAACTGGAATACATAGGATTTACATGAGTATTCAGCCAATTCATGGATTTACATCTACAGCTACAGAATGGGGATCATAATACATGTTTAACCTTGATGTGTTTTATACACTTCATGTACTTAGAACACTTGGAATCGGAGAGCACAGTAGCTAAGACTGACCAAAGATATGATCGGTACTTTATTACCTGATTAGTGTAACCTTAATAAGACTCTGGATTTGTGCTCAGTAAATACCATGTCATTTCTTTTCAGATTTGCCGAGCTTACTGAATACATTGTGCATGCATTTCTACTCCAAAACTTATCAGCACGATAGAAAAAGCTAATCTCTGATAAGGGGTCACCAAAGAAGACTGATCTCATTTGTCCATCCTTCATCTCACCCATTAACTCTCTCTCTCTCTCTCTCTCTCTCATAATTACTGCCAAATCAATACATCAAAATCCGGGGACTTTCCTCGTGCGTTCTCTCTCTACGTAGACCAACAGCCTGCTAATACCAAGAAAGGTAAAAATGAGATAGAAAGAATAACATAAGAGAGAGAGAGAGAGAGAGAGAGAGAGAGAGAGAGAGAGAGAGTAGAGAAGATGAGTGTGCTACCTGCAACCCATACGAGGACACGAACCCTTGTCTTCCGGGACCTTGGGCCTATTTCATTCTCCAAATGCTTCCCAAAGTCCTAGACATATCGGATGATACTGCTTACCCGACATAGGATCCTCCTCGTTACCTTTAATATGTTGCTTCCTCCCCTTATCACACTACCAACCTAATGTTCTTCATCCACAGTCACTACAATATCATTTAATGGTGGAGAGAGATAGAGAGGGAGAGACAGAGAGAGAGAAAGGAGTGGACTCTATCTCGGTTGATGCACAGCTTGCTGAAACTTTGACCGTCAAAGACGAGAAAGAAAGGTCGAAAAACACATGGCCTCCATCCTCTCTCTCTTGAATGCATATTATATACGCAAAAACCCTAAACAAAGAATAGTTTAATGCAGATGGTAGTAACTAATAACCTTCCAAAATGGCAAAAGCAAACAAAGGAGACACCTCTAGGGTTTCTGCCATGGCAGGACTCACGTGCACAGCCACGGTGCTTTGCGGCAAGTACCCTTTTCTTCTGTGTCTCCTTTTATTGTATGATTAAACAGCTACGTACGTCCGAGCTAAGAGGTTCGAGTGGTCTGTGCAGGTTCTATTACATGTCGAGCGGATCTTCACATGCATGCAGACATGCATGTATCTGTTCCACGTCCCAGTGAGTGTCCCCAAACGTGAGATACAAGGACTCATGCGATGGACAAAAAGTAGAAAGAATGTGTGCGCCTCTTCATCCGGGAGCCTTCCCCCTAGGGTTCGATTCAGTGCACCGTAATCACAGCCCTCTTGGACACATAGCAGAGAGAGAGAGAGAGAGAGAGGCGGCTGAAGGGGGGTGGTCGGCAACACAAGAGTGTGGTGAATAATCAATGGAAAAGTGGGAACGGTTCTTGCGGTAAGTGGCCAACCAATGGCGCCTGGGAGAGAACGACGACGCTTCGTGGGGAGAGTAAAACGCAAGGAAAGGTTAAAACCTAAGGTTAAACAAAAGGAAACATAATATATTGCCCTCACTCTTCAATCTACCACATAAACAATGGAGCAATCCACGCCCATTTGCACATTTTATACTCATACTTGAGCCATCTTTCTACTCCGGGTGGTACAACAACAGTTCACCGAGTTTTACTAAGTGGCCCATAAGACTGGGTAAAGTGAAAACAAAGAGGTGGAAGAGTGAGAGACAAAGAGAGAGCACAGTGGTCAAGGAGAAAGTGGGAGGAGTCTTCATTATTCAAAGGGGTTGGCCTGGGAGAAATCAGCGGACGCCCGTGCCTTCTCGGAAAGAATAATTCTTGAACTTTTTCCATGCACAAAGATCAATGCAGAGAGAGGAGGAGGAGGAGAGAAAAGGGTGGGTTGAGGAGGGAGAGAAGGATCCAATCCCAGCAGGACCAACCTTTGCGCGATTTCCATGAACGTTACTCGGTTCTGCCATAGAGCTCGCTAGGGTTTCATACACCTTCCTCTTCTTGAGCTAGCTAGCCATGTCCAAATCCATGCACAGTCTAACCTTGAACTTTGTTTTCACTGTTCATGACCCACAATGGACATTTACTTTCACGTATTGTTGTACTTGTTTTGACCTGTTCTCTGATTAGGGTTCGTGGGGATAGAGAGAGAGAGAGAGAGAGAGGGTGAATACATTAATTGACTGCATGCCTGTCTTGGGTTTGTCGGATATAAACCCCTCCTATTTTCCAAATCGAATCTTGTAAACCCCAAGGAAATCCTTGTATATTGCACTGCTTTGTGGAAGGAGGAGGGAGTTGAGTACTCGCACAATGATGAAAGAGTAGATTTAGATTCATGCCTTTTGACTCGGAAGACTTGTCATGTCGTTCTCCACAAGCTGGTAATTCAGGTTTGGAGAAGAAGAAACACAGCATGTCGATCCTCCTGCATCACCTGCGCGCGCAGGTGAGCTCCTGCACGTAGATTCGTGCACGCAATCAAAGCCACCGTGTGCTGCGGTAGCATGAATCCACCGTATGCTTCTCCTACGTCTTAATTGACATTAATCCAACATTTCATTGTTTTGTAGGTCGCCATGGAATGAATGCTTTTGGTGCACATAATATTGGATTCGGATTTTAATTGGGTGTAAATATGAATATTATTACATTAATTAACATCACCAAAGAATACTTAACAACAAACGATAGTGATACAATGATTTGCCATTGAATCTCCTTTTCCAATTAATGGTAAATTTATTCCAAGTTTGCCATTAGGAATATATAATGAGAAATGTGAAAATAGTTAGTGATGAAAATTTTTGTGGAAGTTTTAAGAAGGATATTTTAAAGATAAATAATGTTTCATCGTTAAAAACTTCCTTGGTAATTAACCCATCAATAAATCACATTTTAGTGATACATCTGAATGTTTGTAGCATAAAGTTTGTGGCTAATTAGGGATATAATAAAATATTAAAACAAAAAGAAGAATGAGAGTATAATAGTAACACTTTCAATGACTAATTAGGGATTTTCTATTAGCTTATCCTTATTTAATTGTTTGTTGAATGCTAATTGGCAATAATAGCCTTTAAAAGCTCATTATGATGGTAAGAACATCAAGAGAATTTTAAACATTTAGTGTATATATATATATATATTTATATATTTTGAAGAAATAAGATATTTATATAGAATTAACTTTAAAACATTAACTAAAATTTTCTTATTATAAGTACTAATAGTTTGTGACCTTTGGAGTTCTACTAAGTTTTTGGGCCTATAATTAGTAGTCAGCTAATTGATTTCAGAAAATAATTTGTAAATTACTTGAAAAAAAGGCCTATTAGTTTATACAAAAATAAATAATTGATTAGTATTTGAAAAAAATAAATAATATTAGTTTAGTTTAACAATTAAGCTTTTGATAAAAGGAATTAATACGCATTATATTCCTTAATATTCACATGAATATTAATAAAGTGCATAAATAAGTGAAGTATACACATGTATACGAATACATATGTATACGTTTAGATACATGTATACGAGGCAACATGTAAAAGGCGTTAAAAGAGAGAAGATATCAAGAAAGGGGGGAGGGATTCGACGGGCGGCGATGGGGATCCGATGCTTCGCTTCCCTTCTCCTTCTCCTCTCCCTCTCCTTCTCCGACTTCGGTCGAGCCGTCTCCTCCCTCGATACAGATCTCGGAACCGCCCGCGTCGTCTTCCAGGTTCTTCTCGCTCCATCCTCTTCGTGATTGTCCTAGTCAATTGAATCTTGGAAATCTCAGCGTTGTTGGAATCTGAATGCTTTACCGCATTTTTTAGGCCAGGGTAATATGTATTTGATCTCAGATCTCGCGGTTAAGGTTAGATTCTTGGGTTCTTGGGATCGGTTGTGCTCTTGGGAGACGGAACAATTGACTTTCCTGATCTTAGTTCAGGGTTTCTCAGATAGGTTTTTTGCTGATGCGTGCGATACGATGATGCTGCTGCATGGGATATGAAATTGATGTGTACTAACAATTAATTGGTTGTGATTGTTCATCACGAACACTTTGGACGCGTAAATTCTCTTTTACATCGTTGCGTGGATGTAGGGAAGTTACATTGAACGAGATATTCTGCAAGTGCGACTCAGAAAATTAGTTAGGCAGAGAAGATATGAAACAAGAAAATTTGTATTCACCTGATGAAGCTTAAAACTGTTTAACCAATCTTTGTTATGATTTCATGGCATTATGACAGAGTTAAGACAAATAGAATAGGTTTGGTGGGAACGTTGATGGTTTGCCCGAGAGGGGCATGGCAATATTTGTTATGATCTCTCATGGTATAATAACAGAGTTAAGACGAATAGAATAGATGTCTAGTGAGAACATTGATGGTTTGTCAGACGGGCATTGTGCAGTGATGCACAATCAGAAATAGTGAAGGAATGAGGTATTCAAAGCCAATTTAGTTACTGTTTTGAGCCTCATGGAAGTTTTTGAAATCTCATGAATAGATGTATCCTAAGCCTTCTGAAGCTAAAAAGAGAATGGCCTAACCTAAATATTTTTGGATGATTTTATGATCGGTGCTAAGGAAGAGAAGGAATAATCTGCTGAATATAATGTAAAAAAAGATAATAATTTACATGGTTAACCTTGAATAGTTGCGGAGGTCATAAAACATTTCTGCTTTGTGCCATTTGTTGCTTTGGAGTCTTCAACAATTTTAAGTTAAAATGAATACTTTGGCTTCTAAAATATTATTCCTTTGCCATTTTTGGAGCTGAGTGAAGCTTCCGTGATCAATATTTGGAATGAGCTTAGCTCAGGAGGAAAGGTCAGGAACAATATATAAAGAAACATGGCGTTGGAAGCACCTAGAGAGTATGGCGTCTTATGTACAGTGCTCCTATTGTTAGGGGAGACACTGATTGGCTGATTAATGTACACCTTCTGGTCTTTCTTGATAATAATATGCTGTGGAATGATTTGGCCATATAACTACGTATGTTAGATTGTACTTTCTTTTTTAAGAAGAAACTTTGCCTACACCACTAACCTTTTTGAATGTCTCACAACCAGTTTTTTCCAAGTTTTAAATTATAAATTTTGAAAATTTGATGATTCAATATTGTTCAGGATATGTTTTATATAACTATATAACATTGCGCCTTATGTGCAGACAGCTTATGGTGACATTGAATTTGGTTTTTTTCCTCATGTGGCCCCCAAAACTGTCAAGCATATCTTCAAACTTGTGCGGCTTGGTTGCTATAACACAAACCACTTCTTTCGGGTAGTGGTTGTAATGCTTAATTTTCTTATGTCAATACAACAATAAAATATTTAATCTTTCAGAGTAAAGTTGACTGTCAATATTGGCAGGTGGATAAAGGTTTTGTTGCACAAGTGGCTGATGTTGTAGGAGGCAGAACTTCTCGAATGAATGAAGAGCAAAGGTTGGAAGCTGAGAAAACTGTTGTTGGTGAATTTAGTAGCGTCAAACATGTGAGAGGCATTCTTTCAATGGGAAGGTAACTTTCTTAATATATAATGGCTATTTGATCCTAAGATTCATTGAGATCTGTCAACAATTGCCTTTGGCTTGTATATGTGTCTGTGATTGTCTCTATTGGGATTATTAACTTTATTGCAGGGTTTTTTTCTTTCTTTTAGTTAGAATATAAATGTGTTGTCTTGTTATCATTTTCTAACCATTATCATGTTATCATTTTCTAACCATCATCATGTTATCTTAAAATGATACATGGACTGAAAGGTTTTAATTTTTGGACCAGTCTAGAGGATGATTACCAAGTTTGCTATTACCATGAGTCCAAAGGGGATGATCTTAAATTTTACTAGTCATCAATCAGCATCAAAATATTTGCATTGGATCTGGTAGATATCCAAAATTTTCATGTCAGTTCGTCAAATTCAAAGTAATGTTTTTTCAGCCTATAACCTTACACTATGGCAGTCTTCCTTATCAATGGATTGGTTCCCTAGATTGCTTTATATCATGGTTTTGTACCTTGGACTGTTATATCTATGACTATTAGAGTCAAAGCTGCAAATAAGATAAGATATTTTCTACAGAGAATTTCACAATTAGCTTGATAGAATATGCATAAGAACAGTCATTTAAATTCTGTTCAACTGCACTAGAAGACTATATTCTAGAAAGTGTCTGAAACCTCCCTGTGAAAATATCTATTAGGTCTTATAAATGGTAACAACGATGCAAGTGGTTATTAACTTCGAATAGACTACTTTATTCTGAAATATGTAAATGGAAGCTTTTCTGCCCTTGCATATGAGCCTTTTGCTGAGTTTTAAGTCTTCCTTTCCTCTAGGTACTCTGATCCAGATAGTGCTTCATCTTCTTTTTCTATTCTTTTAGGCGATGCACCTCACCTTGATGGCCAGGTATTGCATGCTTGTTGGTTGCTTATATACCTGAATTTCAAACTGAAAAGTTCTTCCTACACTGACATTTTTCTGACATGCAATAATGTAGTATGCCATTTTCGGAAGGGTGACTAAAGGTGATGATACATTAAGAAAACTGGAAGAGCTTCCTACTCGACGTGAAGGGATCTTTGTCATGGTAAGTTTTCCGAGTTAACCACTCGGTAATCCAAGTATCTGGCCAATCGCAACCTTTTCTCTACTAAACATTGTTCAAACGACCAACCTTACCCCTCAACCCTGTCTATTCATTGCTGTTGTACATGTACTCACTATTTGTAGGCATATCATTGACTGAACCAAATATATGCTTACCTCTATTTGTGACTCCTAGATTCTTCTGCTATGTTTTCTTTGATGAAAATCCTGTAGTTGTGTGGTAAGTGCAGGCATGCTGAACATGGTAGGTAAAAAGCACCAAATAGCTGGAGCTGCATGTCCGGTCACCAGTTTTACATTATAACTATGGCTTTCTTATGTACTACTTAATGTTGTTTCTATTTTTCCTGTTTGTGTACTGAAGTCATTCTTGCTTTTGCAGCCTACGGAGCGCATCACCATCTTCTCAACTTATTATTATGGTGAGGATGATCAATTTTTCTACCTCACATTGTTTAGAAGCACATATGTCTCAATGTTGTTAAAGGAATGAACGATAGAATTCTGATGAACCGGTTTTCGCTTTTTGATGGTATCACATTAAAGTATGCTTGATCATATCATCTGTTGGTTCTTTTAATATTTTTTTTTTCTGAGTTTCATTTTTTTTCTTTGGCAAAATCAGAGTAGCCTCTTGTCCTGAGGCTATGTACTTGAACTGCATTATGTAGTTTACTGGCTTTCTTTAGAAATTGATGGTCGGCATGGACTTGGATCTTGATCAGTCAGTTCCATAAGCATTAGAATACCATGATCACCTGTTTGACTTTGGTTGATATCTATTTTATGAAATTATCCTGTTTGTTGATTGCCTGTTGTTTGTTGATTATATATTCTAACATCACTAAAACTGAATTTTAAAGTTCATGCTTAAAGTTGGAACAAACACGTCTAACCATTTTGGTTGTTGTCTTCCTAGTTTTAACTCTCAATTTTTCATAGGTTTCTGTTCCTGTGTAAAAGAGTTACCACAAACTCTCTGATCAACTGTCCTTTATATGGTGAAAAGGAAATCTCTCTATATTTGCAAAAAATATACTTTTTTTTTGCAACAGATTCCTCTTCAACTGGTTGCATGTTACTGTCATTTCAGGTGTAATCTCATTTGCAGCACCTCCTTACATGTCCAGGACTTACAATCCTATTCTTGTGGTTATGTGATTAGATGTTGAAATCAAGTGGTTGCAGTAATTTAGTTAGGAATTTTAGCTTATACTGGATCAGCTTATTCTCCATGTGAAATTACACTGTTTATTTTCTTTTATTATTTCTGTCTAATTTTCTGGTATTATTGTTTTATCTCTATCTTCTAGATACCAGGGTAGAGAATTGTGAATGGGAAAAGGAAAACCTCAAGAGAAGACTTTCTGAATCTTTAATCGAAGTTGAAAGACAGGTGGGTGAAAAATATTTGGGTGTTGACTAAACCTAAAGAATCTTTCATTTGATTATTGTTCTTCTTTGTCTAATTTGCAGAGAATGAAATGCCTCCCGTAAATGGGCCAGAGGTATGTGTAGATGACTAAAGTATCTGACAGGGCAAACTCACTGGTTGATTGATATATATATCAAGAGCTTTTTTATTTGCAGTAATGGATTTAAAAAAGAAAAACTAACGATGATTGCTCTATTGTTAAGATTTTAATGGAATCAAGAGTTAATGCATGGTGGAACACAGCCGCAACTTGGTAAATCAAGTGTTAATTACGACCCTAAATATGTGGCTGTTTGCTTCCTGAATGTTCTGCACGGTTTTTCGTGTAAGTGACCAGTGTAAAAAGGTTGAAGTGCAGAAAGGAAGATATATTAGGCTTGGTCACTCATATCTGGAATGATCTTGCTTGTGATGTGTGTATTCTTCAAGGAGTCTGGAAGAGATTAGAGGTCAGATGAACTAGAAGGCTTGTGGTTACCTAAAAAATTATATATATATATATATATGCCTGGTTTTGTAATTTTCAGTGGCTCATATTCCCCCACAAGAGCTTTGGCCATCTAGTTAGGTTTGGTTGAAGTGTCAAAACAACATGGTGCTCTAAAGAAACACCACTTGATCTCCTCCGTGTCACATGATTCCAGAGCACCCAACTGTGAAGTTAGTCTCTTGGCATTTTGATTGCGAGCCTCCTCCCATCTTTGTTGCTCAAGATTTTTGCTTCAAAATAAAGAGTTAGATTCGTCATAATATCCTGGCTCAAGTTGTGCTTCCCTGGTTCTTTTGGGGGTGTAATACTTGGCTGAAAGCTCGTGATAATATCCTTATGTAGCATGATATCTAGCATGATATCACAATGTATAATTGACATACTCTTGTTGTCAGCAACAACCCCTTGTGTGACTAACAATGGCCATAAATTAAGCAACCATCAGTAATCTCATCTTTGAGGAGAAGCTTCTGCTCTTAATTGATAGCCCCACTGATGGGCAAGACGATTGCCTTGGTGCCATGGCCACCAAATTGCCTTATCCCGGTGCTTTATAGGTTCCTAGGGATAGAAAACAGCTGACAATGTCGGCTCCCAACCTAACCGATACATGCATTTGAAATGTTCCAGATCATACTTGAGCTGTGTAACAGCTCTTTGCTTGGGAACAGTTAGCTACTAACTTTGGTTTCTCTTGTATAATGCATGAATGAAATAGTGTCAGAGATACGACCCTAAATGCTTGCATCTGTACCGGTAGTCTCAGCATGCAATGCGCGCACTGAAATCAACTGGTTAAAATCAACCTATTTGGGTTGTATAATTGCTTTTGTAGACCTTTTTTGCTGTCATTAGTCCCCACGAGCTTGTCATTGTTTCCGACACTGTATCTCATCATTGCTTGAGCTGAACTTGGGTCCCTAGGAAAGCTGCCTGGACTTGCTAATCCATTAATATTTTCCAGCTTGGATTCAAGTCGTGTTAGAGAGAATCTGTGTACCTTGTGAGATAATAAAACTTTACTGATTTCACCTGCTTCCTTATTGAAAACTCGATGTGGATGTTTCTTAGGCTAAAATAAGGTACTTGTATAATTGCATCGACCTGCGTCCACATGATCCGTCGATTAAAGAAACAATGATTCCTGATGACTTCTGTAAGGACCTCTCCATCAATCGGGCTGAAGCTCATGTGCCCCATGATGCACGCTGCAGCAAACAGAAAGCTCAGCAAAATAATCTGTACTTGGTCGATTCCACTTCCACAGTCAGCAGCTCTAATCTACGAAATCTAAAGCAGCGCATACTGTTCTCATTCTCAAACCTCTCTAACAGTTGGTTTAGCCCAGCACTAGTTTAATTAAACCGCGGAATGCTTATAGACTCAGTAGTAGTCCAAGTTACATGATCGAGTAGCCTCTATTGTTATCATGCAAAGCTCATCATCTCCTCTTGCATGTGAAAGGCAACCTGTGGGATATTGTAGCTCTCGTTTACCACCACACCTTGTGTAACATTCCTCAGAGGCAACTAGTTACAAGTTTGCTTGTAATGGTCAGATATGGTAGAAGCAAGCATGAGTAAGTATGACTTCAGAAACTCCAAACATCTTTTTGCTTGCTTCACCTCAAGGGGTGTGATTCGTAGATCCAACAAGCAGTGAATCTAATATTTAAGTTGGATGTAACGTGGCCTGCGTGGTTCCCCCTGACACAACCCCTGTGTCGTTGGCTGCTTCTTCGCCGCAAGTCCCACTTGCATGCACACACAGTCTCTCTCTCTCTCTCTCTCTCTCTCTCTCTCTCTCGCTCACATCAATGCTTAAATACGGCAATTATCTTTCTCCATGCACCTGTTTTCTCATCACCACCTTCTGTGTCTCTCCCTTGTGCCCTATTTACCTCTATCTCTCTCCTCCTTTTCCTCACTCCTGATCGCATCCCTCTTCACCTCCTCTTCTCATTGTCTTTTGATCCGTCAGCTCACACTCTATCATCCTCAAACTTGACTGACCATCCTCTCTCCAGAAGTAAAACCTTAGAGCTCCGACCTCTTCCATCTGCAAACACATTGCTCGAACCACTCGACCGTCACCAACACCAAAGGATGTCCAGCAGGAGATCTCGATTGAGGCAGTCGGGCTCGACAAGGATCACCGACGAACAGATCAACGAGCTGATCTCGAAACTCCAATCTGTTCTTCCTGAAGCACGTCGCGGAGGCAACGACAGGGTATGGTTTGAGACAATGTGCCTAATTAGTACTGTTGGTTTAGGTGGTGTTTAAGGTTTCGCGTTCATGGGTGCAGGTGTCAGCAGCCAAGGTGTTGCAGGAGACTTGCAGCCACATCAGGAGATTGCATCGAGAGGTTGATGACTTGAGTGAGAGGCTGTCGGAACTGCTCGACTCAGCTGACCTAAATAGCGCTCAGGCCGCCTTCATCAGAAGCTTGCTGATGTGATTCCATCCACGCCTGTTCACCACATTAGTAGTGCTCATTTCGGAGTCTTTGATCGATGTACTGAAAGCTTTGCTTGATCTTTCCCGTACTTACGTATGATCAAACTCTTCTTTTCTCTGATTCCAAGAGTTTTCTCGTTCATCTTGATCATGACTAATTGCCCGAGCCTTGATTGACACAATGAGATACAAATGCACTTGTAGAAGTGCATCATCCATTAGAGAGTTCCATTGGCAGATCTGTATTAGAAATGCCAATTGACCATTTCATTGGAGTGTAGGACAAGAACATGGGTAGTATGGGAAACTGTTGGCACGGTTTGTATCTGGGAAAGATAAATACTATATATATGGAATTCATAAAATTTATCCATAAATTATATGTTAGCTATCTGAACCTGAAATTAAATCATATTAATCGATTACATAATATTCTTATTTGTGATGTATTTATGATCAATTACATAATAAGAGTAATTACTTTGAGACTTGAGGGCTCGCTGGCTTACACTGATCTAACCTTCAACACAGTGAAACTACTGAATCTGATCTCAAGGTCTTGAGATCCATGAAACTTAGACCCCCATACTTTATCATGGCTATCTTTTTTTGCTGAGGTTGAGTGAGAAGCCTTGAGTAGTCTAAAGCATCACCGTGAGATTCCTCAAGCACAATAGTATGCTCATGTCCTACTCAGATTTTAACTTTTTCTGATAACAAAGCATAATTATTGTTAATATCAATTTTGATCCTCGGCCCATTGGGTTAAGTTTCACATGAACAAGCTGACTTTAAAGAGGGAGGGGAAGTTTTCTTCGAGATTTATGTTAGGGGTATGTCCAACAAGACTCTTTTGTCGCCCGACATAGACGTGAAAAAAGAAAAAAGAGTTTATACTCGGAGAGATCATAGACTTAATTCAAAGAATATTTTTGTTAGGATCTAATAATACAGATGTGTCATGGTAAATATCATTAGTCTATGTTGGTGGGATCTGATTGACTAGGATTGATCTATCAAACTTTGATTGGTATAAAAACATTCATCATATCAATAATGATGTTAATTGAGCTCAAACATTTATTGATGGCTGGCTTGGCATGAGCTTCAATTGAAAACAATGCATACTAAGAACTAATTTTGCTATGTTCTTTCAGTGTTACAACAGTAAACTATGTTTGTATGGAAGTCCGAATTATATTAACCATAATTTTCAGCAAAATGCACAGTTCAATATTTATTGCACCACATAAATTGTTCTACTGATAAAGGAAGCAGAACAAACGCTGTGTCATCTGACTGCACACCTGACGGAGAACTGCTATATTCTTCCATGGTAAAAGAACAACAGAAGCTAAAACACTCACCAAACCCCGAGCACTGTCGGTCACTGCCATTGGAGTCTTTGTAGGGAGACGTGGTCTTTCGGGGGCAACGAGTGGCTCCTGGGGAGTGGGAAGGGTTGTCGCCGGCGGCCGAGGCGCGGGTGCTTTGAGGTGGTATAGGGAAGCTGTAGCTCTGCAAGTAGGGACGGGGAGAAGCGTAGGTAGGTTTCTGGAACACCAATCAATGTGAAGCTGAGCCTCCACATTGCTTTGGAAATCGAGGATACACACGAGGAACATTCCCTGAGAAGACATCCCTTGGGATGTGGGTAACATTGCAGGTGACCGTGGGAACTGAAGCAGAGAGATATATGTCTCCGATAAGGAGTTCGGAGTCAAACACATAGAAAGAGACGGAACGGTGAGAGTCGGTCCTGCCGTCAGAACTTTCAATAGAATGTGTAATCTATTTTATTTGTTGGCATCTATATATAATTTATTATTAAGAGATTTATATTAACGTTATAAAAATATATGAAAAAAATATTTATTTTGCATTAACCATAGACGATTTAGACATAAATTCTTTATCTTTCAAAGAGATTTTTTGATGTGATTTTCAAGTTAGTAGTATGAGGTATATAAGTATAGATGTGAATAGTAAAATAATAATTAAAAAATAATAAATTTTTTTATTATGTTGAAGATGAACTTTTATACTTTGATCGTAAAGGAAAAAAATTTTCATAAATTATTTACAGGGAAACAACTTTTAATCATCTATAATAGTCTTTCATTAACCTTTTGTCCATGTGGGTAATAAGGGGTAACGATAACTCATAAATCGTCTATCTTGAATTCTTACCCATATGGGTAGATGGATGAAGGATAATCTTTATCCTCTCTTTTCATCTTAGACACCATATGATGGTTACATGTCGGATGAATATTGCTTGATGATGTATTCCCTATTGCTATAAGATTTATACTAAACTTGTAGAAATATATGAAAAATTATTCATTTTGCATGAACCATATATGGTTTAGGCACAAATCCTCTCTTCCATAATAATTATGGAAAGCTCTCTTAGCTTGCTCCTAACCTTTGACTCGTATAAAGTTAATTGAAACTCTCGACATTAAAGTTTTTAATTATTTTAGATGAGCTCGTACAATTTCACCTTAGTTCAGACGTCTTCGAGCGAAGAGTGAGTTAAGCAATACACGATAAATATTTTTTTTTGACTCATTTATTCTTTTAAATGAGTCAACTCGATAAGATTAATCAAAAAATTCACACAAAAAAAAACATACAAAAGGATTAATTAAACTAGAAATTAGTAGTACAAACACGAGTCGCCTTTAGGCCCCTATGCTTTTTGTGGATTATCATGTGAAGTAGAAGAAAAATCACATTCACAACGCGTAAACATGAAGACAATAAATTGCTATCACCTTCCTCGATATCTATCTATATATTCACAAGAAACCAATCTCGTTTGATGTTTGATGGAAACAGCACGTCGATTTGTCATCATACATGGCGCACGGACGACTGTGACTCGATCGCTCATGGGCCCATGCATGGCATGCCCCTCAAACCATGTCACTGCCACATCAACATCAACGTTGACCCAACCCCTATGTCATCTCAACTTCCAGCACCATCCTTGTCACCATTAATTTGGGACATCAACAGTGAATTCATCCAAAGCAAAAGCCATCAACGATCACTCAAGATTACATCTCGACTATGTTCAGTCGAATCCAATCGAGTTAGAATTGAAATTGTCATCCCTGATGACATGGCATCACAAAAGAATCCATCCCTAAATTCCTGCAATGGCTTTTCTCTTTCTCCATCCAATCTTTCTATGTGTAGTTTAGTTTGCTTTCTCGTTTTTAGCTGACCAACACCTTCATATTTTCCTGTGCAGTCTTTCTCGCACTTTCTTATGAAGTAAAACCTCACGTTTCACTTCCAGAATCTTAATACTGTATGTACTTTTTCTCCCTCTTCACCCATGGCCTGTTGATGACCCTCATATAATATTGAATCATATGGTGGCCCATTTCTCACTCTACAGCATGGAGTACAACTTCATTGAGATGGACATGGCAACTCCCTTTGAGAAAACAAAAGAGATGCATCCATCTGTCTGCATCACACTGCATGAAAAAAGTAGTGAACAAAATAGGTGGAAGTATCTGACCCCATTTATCCTAATCCCAACAAGGTTTAATTTGCTTTTCATTATTAGATCATGATCATCTGTCTCAGGATTACCTGTGGCAGGAAGAATATAATAGAGTGATGATTGGAGTTGTGGAAATTAAGATCTTATGATCAGCTGGAATTGCCCCAACGATGATCAGTCAAAGTGTTTGATGTGAAAGCACAGCAGCGTGGGGTTTCAGGATAGGGAATCAGGGCAAGACAGTGCATCTCATTTTCAAAGATGGTGAGTCCATTTCCTCTCGAGAAAGATCGGCCATGCAAAGGGCTTGTCAATTTTAGATAGAAGCTGATACGACATATTTTGGGATCCCGGACACACCACCGCTTCCCTGATACAGGAAAGCAATCACCTACGCCCGCGAAAATCCCAACCTTGAAAATCACCGATAGACGTCCCCAAGGCAAGCCATCAATCGTCCCAGATCTCGATCGACGCCAATCAGCACCCCTTCCCGAGGGCACAGTCACCTCGTCATCCAGCTCATTTTATACAAAGCTCCCGATACTGACCCGCGAACTTAACCATGTCGACTCATCAGCCACGATATATTTGTTCACTAACAAAAACCATGACAACTTATTTGGCATGAATTCTATTGATTTTTTTTATTAATATCATTGCATCTGAAAGTTTAAGTTCATCATAATTTATATTTTAATACTCTTTTTTTTTTTTTACATGGAGTAATAGTTGATTTAACTTCAATTTGAACTTATAATATTTTGGTGGAATAGTATTAGATTTAAAAGTTTAAGATCTTCATTTTCATTCTTAACACTTTCCCCGTTATGTAATTATCACATCACTCGACTCAGTGGATCTTTTGATCTAATATCATCTCAAATTTTTCATCAATTTTATTATATTTCAAGGCTTAATTCGGTAAATGAAAGATGATCTTAATTTATATCTTAACAATTTCTAATTTTGAGATACCATCTGATTAACAAGAAAAGGAATCATTTGATTGTTCTGATAAAGAGTACTTCCTATTACATTATACTTCCTCAGAAATTGTATGAAAAGGTAAGGATAGAGTTTAGAATATATATATATATATATATATATATATATAT